GTGTGTGTGTGTGTGTGTGTGTGTGTGTGTGTGTGTGTGTGTGTGTGTGTGTGTACACAGGTGAAAGTCAAAAATTTAGAATATCGTGCAAAAGTTCATTTATTTCAATAATTCAACTTAAAAGTTCAAACTAAAATATGATATACACTCATTCCTTTATTTTTTTTATTTTGATGATTATGGCTTACAGCTTATGAAAACCCCAATTTCAAAATCTCAGAAAATTAGAACATTTTATGAAATGAATAAAACAAGGATTTTAAATAGAGAACTGTTGGACCTCTAAAAAGCATGATCATACATATGTACGCAGTACTTGGTTTGGACCCCTTTTTGCATGAATTACTGCCTCAACGCAGCATGGCATGGATGCTATCAGCCTTTGGAAGACTAGGTTGCTTAATTAGCAGCCTTCAGCTCTTCTGCATTGTTCAGCCTCATGTCTCTCATCTTTTTGTTGGCAATGCCTCATAAATTCTCTCTGAGGTTCAGGTCAGGCAAGTTTGCTGGCCAACCAAGCACAGTAATCCCAGTGTCATTGAACCAGGTTTTGGGTACTTTTGGCAGTGTGAGCAGGTGCCAAGTCCTGCTGGAAAATGAAGTCAGGATTTCCATAAAGCTTGTCTGCGGAAGGAAGCATGAAGTGCTCCAAAATGTCCTGGTAGATGGCTGCGCTGACTCTGGACTTAATAAAGCATAGTAGACCGTCACCGGCAGATGACATGGCTCCCCAAATCAACACAGACTGTGGAAACTTTACGCTGGACTTCAAGCATCTTGGATTGTATGCCTCTCCACTCTTCCTCCAGACTCTGGGAACTTGGTTTCCATATGAGATGCGAAATTTGCTCTCATCAGAAAAGAGGACTTTAGACCAGCAACAGACCAGTTCTTTTTTTCCTTTAGCCAAGGTAAGATGCTTCTGATGTTTGTTGTTCAGGTGCGGCTTGACAAGAGGAATACGACATTTGAAGCCCATGTTCAGGATCCGTCTGTGTGCCGTGGCTCTTAATGTACTAACTCAGTCCACTCATTGTGAAGGTCCCACACACTTTTGAATGTCCTTTTCCTGACAATCCTCTGAAGGCTGTGGTCATCCCTGCTGCTTGTGCACCTTTCCCTTCCACGTAACTTTCTATTAATGTGCTTTGATAGAGCACTTTGGGAACATCCAACCTCTTCTAAGAGACCATTTAAAAGCCCACTATGCAGGTGTTTTGGATTAATTAGCTAATTAGACTGTGACGCTTTAAATGGTAAATGGCCTGCATTTGTGTAGCGCTTTTCTAGTCCCTAAGGACCCCAAAGCGCTTCACACTACATTCAGTCATCCACCCATTCACACACACATTCA